GTTACTAAATCAATATGTCTGTATCCGTCGTTTCTCCTTCAGTTTCTGGTTACTAAATCAATATGTCTGTATCCGTCGTTTCTCCTTCAGTTTCTGGTTACTAAATCAATATGTCTGTATCCGTCGTTTCTCCTTCAGTTTCTGGTTACTAAATCAATATGTCTGTATCCGTCGTTTCTCCTTCAGTTTCTGGTTACTAAATCAATATATCTGTATCCGTCGTTTCTCCTTCAGTTTCTGGTTACTAAATCAATATGTCTGTATCCGTCGTTTCTCCTTCAGTTTCTGGTTACTAAATCAATATGTCTGTATAGGTATAATATGTAAAAGGTATTGTTGTATATATTATTGAGATTTAAATCTCTTGACAGAACTTTTTTACTAAAATCCTTTGTTGCACCAAAAACATTCGGTTACTTAGTTTTTGTTTTGTTTTTCCAACACACTATAAACGTCACATCCTTCTCGGAAACCACTGAAGTACCAAATAAAAATTGTAGTGTTTCAAAACACAGCCTAAAACAACTGTTTTATGAAAAATATAATTGGTAAATATCTAGTCTCGGGGTAATGTTGACCCCAAGCTTCACTTTAAAATTACCAGCCCTATATTTTCATACCTATTTCTGTGTAACGATGTAAATGTGAGAAAGGGCGAAACTGAACAACTAGAATTTATTGGAATTTAAAAAACTTGCATCTTTATTTAATTTTGTTCTTATTGTAAATGTTCTATACCAATCAAGAAAACGCTGTTGTAAGAGACTTCATGTCTTACATCAACTTCTAGCAATCGGCAAAGCTCCAACAAAAGTTACCAGTAAAGACAAAGAGAAGAATCTAGGTTAACTTCTATCAAAGCTACAGATATGTTGAAGGGAACTGGTAGATGAAAGACACTTTTTGATATTATTAGTAGCAGGGAAGACTTGTGTAAAGATCACTAAAATTAAAAGTTTCTATTGTTTTAACTTCAAAGCCTTTAATTTTGTCTTCCGCCGATGGTAATGAGTGGATAATATCGGTTCTTTCTTTGTTAATACTGTAGTATTTGTTTAAATGTATTTAAGAACAGTATATATACGAAATGATAAATTCCTACAGTTTTAACAGGTATTATTGCTTTGTCAAAAATTAAGTTTTGCAACACAAATGTTTTCATTCTTTCTCAAACAAAAGTGTTTAATAGGTGTTACGTTTCGGTGTTAGGCTATATCAGCCACAATTCAATGTAACAAACGCGTCAACCACTTCTACGCTAACGATTCCTCAGGTTACGTAACAAAATGCTAGAAAGGAAACAGGAAACTTTTCGTAGCATGTGATACAAGGAAACAAGCTACACACTGTTATTTCAGAATGTCATTAATATATGTAAATACAAATATGTACTTACACTAGGATAATTAACCAGTGTTTGTAATAACAGTCCCCATATATAAACATACCAGCCATACATGTATACCTACGTTCATATACTAAAGTAAACAACTTACCAGAAAATCAAGTCATGGATGATGTAATATTGTTTATTTAGTAAAAAATAATAACGTGAATTAGATTACTATAACGATAGATTAAAAATTCCAAAACCCTGAATGTGAAAACAAGTAATAATAATATGTAGCATAAAATATTGAGACAGCTATAGATACATGTATATACTTGTACTATAAACTAATTAACTAATATGTGTTACCAGTTCCTATGTACTTCAAGAACAGGTCAGTTGGTTGTAGTGTTCGGTAGTAATGACCAATAAAACTTAGGTAGTGAGATAACCAGCTGGGGTTTTAGCTTCGTACATGGGATATCATTTTATGTGTTACTATGGTCATGCTGTTAACTGAAATATAAATCAATTGAGGTTTTAGTATTTTTTTTTCCGTATTATTTCCTAAGATGTTCATTTGTAGGCTAACGAAAAGGTCTATAGGTGTCTCCTCAATTGGTAAACAACGTTTTGTGTTAGGTATCGATTTATTTTGGGCAAGCAGTATTGGCAGTTACGAACGTAACGTCTCGACTACTTTCTGTTTAGTATGATTGTGTTTAATTGTCTTTACTTTCTCTAAAAGTGTGCTGAGATAATAGTTACTAAATAACACTTTGGTAGTTATGTGGTAATGGTTACTAAACAACACTTTGGTAGTTATGTGGTAATGGTTACTAAACAACACTTTGGTAGTTATGTGGTAATGGTTACTAAACAACACTTTGGTAGTTATGTGGTAATGGTTACTAAACAACACTTTGGTAGTTATGTGGTAATGGTTCCTAAACAACACTTTGGTAGTTATGTGGTAATGGTTACTAAACAACACTTTGGTAGTTATGTGGTAATGGTTACTAAACAACACTTTGGTAGTTATGTGGTAATGGTTCCTAAACAACACTTTGGTAGTTATGTGGTAATGGTTACTAAACAACACTTTGGTAGTTATGTTGTAATGGTTACTAAACAACACTTTGGTAGTTATGTGGTAATGGTTACTAAACAACACTTTGGTAGTTATGTGGTAATGGTTACTAAACAACTATACCCCAAGTGCTTTCATTGGTTTTCCCCTGGTGAAGAAATCCCCCTCGAAATCACTCGGGTTGTAGGATTTTACATCTGTCTTTAACTAATTTTTTAATCAATGAAACGGCTGTAGAGAGGCGTTATGTAAAACCTTTGATTCCAGGATGTGCAAGAAAATTATTGAGAAGATAAGGACCAAAATGAATTCCAGTGAATACACCATATACTGTAAAATTTTATTCCAAATCTAGCTATTGGTGAAAATACGGGCTTTCTAAACCAGTTAAAGGCTGTTACGTCATATTTACGAAAGTCTAAGAATTCCATGATAATATTTATACATTCCTTTACCTGCTTACTGCTGTAGAGTGATTTAACATGTAAACGACGACATATTTCAATGTGGAAAAGTGTCAGGAAATTTCTGCTCGGTTCATCAAGGAATTGGGTAGAATTGTTTACACGTGAGAGGATGAATCGTAACAATTGTACTGAAATCCTATTTAGTCAGTCACGACACTCGTTCTCAGGGGTTGGAAGAGGCAGAGACAAGTAACCTTAAAGCTACGTCTTCCTTATGAGCTATAGATGAACCTTGCCATTCAGGACATTGGCAATATTTGGATGTGCTGGATCTTTAAAGATTAAAATATTTTTGCAACTGTATCCGAGAAAAAATCATTGGTTATAAGGGAAGTTTTACTTTAAATTACAAGTTTTATATGTGCTATGAAACTTGTTCCTTAAGCCCATTGGTATAATAGCATTCTTGTACGGAAACCAATCACAAACAGGACAATTTGTATCTGTAACTGCGTCGGTAACAGTAAAATGACGATAAATGGTGTGTCATCTTTATCTTCTGGTTCTATCGCTAATTCGTTTTCTTTCGCCCACCATCGTTTATTGTTCTAAATATCTACTTCCCCATCACCGAAACAAACAGAATATAAAAGTTATCATTTTAAGATGTGGATATATTGGTGACTATTGTCACTTATTTTATACTTGAATCACGTATTATCATTATTCGACATAAGAGTTCTTGAAACAAATGTGGTATGAAGTTAATAGTTTTAGTTATACATGATTTTTAGAGTGAAAGTCAGGAACTAAAGAATTTCAGTACACTCAGTAATAACTACATGTATATTAGATCCTTTACCATTTTATTCTCACGTCTAGTTAACGTGTTCAGAGATATGACTGGAACTCCTAAGATTACGAAATTTCCATCCAAATAAGAACGTCTTACATACAAAGTAGTGAATCATTCACGCCTACCTAATCAATGTCTTCCACATCCACGTGTCCTTCTGGATCTGATCCTATTTTAACGAATCTGAATGTCGATTTGACGTTTTCTCCGGATTCTGATGGAAAGTGTCGCCATCCGTCTTACACCTAATAAAACGAAAAGCAAAGAAATGAGGTTTCTTTATAATTGCATCAACAGCAAATTACTATATAAAAAGGGAAAAAAAATCGTGGTGGGACAATAAGTTCAATTATTTGCAAAGCGGTGCCCTCGAGTGGGACAACG